CTTTGGTGCTGTAGCCCGTGGCTTTGTGTCGCGTCTATGTCAAAATCCTTAATTGCGCCGTTATTAAATGGTGTGGAAATATGTGTCACGACCAGACGGTCTTTTGGTAGCCAGCCTTAAGCTTCAAACAGCAAACAGCGGATCTTCCACTTCCGGCATTTTGTTCACTGGCAGTCAAACAATTTCTGAACGGCGCCTTCATCTCTGGCCATGGCTCAAGCTGTTTCAAACGATGTCAGAAAAGGCGATCTAATCTGTTGCACTGTGAGAGTACAGCTACTTTGGAATTAACTATTCTTTTGACTTGTCCATCATGTTCAATCAACCAAGCATTTGATCACCTCTACAAAGCCCTACTCATCCATGTCATTGATGTCCATGATCCAACAAAAAGAACATAAACAAATCATTAACCTTCTTCGAGCCGAGAAAAACAAATGAAACCACACGCTCTTCGAACACCGGCGATGCGGATCTCTCGAGCGGTATGGACCCGAAGCGAACGCTGGAACGACCAGCGGAGCGACGCTGGAGGCGGATGCAAGGCTGGAGGGTCCACCGGAGCTAGTTGTTTGGACACATGTACAGTTTCTTTATGTTTCTTTCATCCGGTAAACGAAGACATGAAGACATGGATTTTCTCCATCCACCTCTACTGCACCAAGTGGTCAGGAGTTCCCCATCATCCTAGTCCTAGTCCCGATATCCCTGGGGCAGCGCGCCACGCGCGCGCGCGTGGGCAGTTCGCTTTCTCGTCAGAAACCAGCGGACAAGGAGAGGTCTATCTAAACAGCGAACAGCACTGCTTGAGCAGAAGTTCGTCAAAATGATTCAAAAAGTTCAGGGTCATCACACCCTGTGCCCCTTGGCAAGGAGTCGTCGGCTCCGGGAAAACCGACCCAAGACCGCAACCGATGTGCCAAAACCCGGCGTGGTCTTCGGTTGCTGCGCTCGCTTACCCAAAGAGTCCTTTGTAACCTCCATGTTTTGGAAAGGATCAAGGGAGCTTTTTTTGGCCCCACACCCAGTGGTAGTCAGACATGTTGGTCCGATTCCTCCCCAAATTCGTGACTCCCAAGTATTCTTCAGCAGATCTTGAGTTTGGAAGTTTCTGGCACGGACCGAAGTCCTACGTGTTGGACGTGCACTGCGTGTTGTCCTGATGTAAGGTGATCCGTGTTTTTGTGTATGTCTTGTTGTGTGTCATGAGGTAACTTGCAAGAATGTCGCCGGAAGCGAAGTGGTGTGTGGCCCGTGAGATGAACGTCCCGTTAGGATTTTGCTGCAAAAAGATCACTTGGTGAAGCCCTCTAGACAACCAAACATAAAATATCATAATCCAGGGCCACCCAAAGGGAGGTTGTTTTTGGATAAAAACATACATCTTCAGGGGGGTCTAGTAAACCACCCTGTGGTGCTGGACATTGATTCTTGGCTGTCATTTGTATATACATAATTAGAAAAACTGAGCCATCTGCAACTAGGGCGAGTCACCAGCCTTTTCATTTAAGCCTCTTTACCGACATCTTGGGTGCATGATCCATGTTGAATGTTCAGTTGATCCATGTTGATCCTGCTTCCATCTGTAGACATGTCCCGAAATGACCGCAAATTCTTGTCATGATTGTGATATATGGTGTGATATTGTAGATGCAATGATGTCCACAGCATCAAAACGTATCAGCTCCGTCTAGCTCCATCAACACTTGAGCTCCTTTCTGGAGAATGAATTCTCACCTTGATTCCTGTCTTCTGAAATGTCGGCTTCGGTTGCGCTTGGGCGTCAGACGTGATGTGAGCACAATAACTTGCTCCGGTCGGAGCTCAAAAGGGCCACTTGAGGGATTTGGAGATCGCCTGTGAAGACCGACGCTTCAGATAAGACATAGACATATAAACAGCGAACACTTCGGCAAACAATAAAGTGGCTCAGTTCAAGAAACATCAAGAAACTACTCTTCCAGTATTGGTCGTGCGATGTGACTTGTAGTCACGATTCATGGCCTAAATGATGTTTATGGTCTGTGTAAGCAATATCTTCAGGATCCTTCCCAAGCTGGACATGCTTCCATACCTTCAGCACACCTCCACCCCTTCCACACCCTTGTACAGGCATGCGGCATGTCTGCATGTGCAAAGCGTAGAAATACTGGACCAAAGATCCTAAACAGTGTGAAAACACTTTTTCTCTCTCTCTCTCTCTTTCTGTGCAAGAAAATGACCCTGGTAGGATTGCGTGTCTGTCAGGAATTGAATCAGGAGTCACAATTGTCAAGCGGAGATCCTGAAGTGGTGCAGATCGCATGGAACTAGTGAATCTACTGATCAGGAGTAGCTCTCCCAAATGATCTCAATTATATACCAGGGCTCAAGCGGGGTGCCTAACGGACAACCCTTCGCTTCTAAAGGTCTATTCTTAGACACCCCTCAGAGGGCCATTGTTTCGGCGGTCAACCGGCGAAGCTCCAGGCCCACGCCCTCCAGGTCGGGCGTGAACCTGGGACCACCCTCAGTCTGGGCCAGGGTTTTGTGCGTGAACCCGAGATCTGCGATGTCTGACCCATGTCGGTGATTTGGTTTTCCAACGGAAAGGTTTGCATGGGATCCTTTTCACCCCCCTGCAGCTCATTCAGAAACAGTCGAAATCTTCCTGAGGCAAACCCTTCGACAAACCCTTCGATGGTCTTATGAACCAGTGACCCACAGTGACCCACGAGACACACCAGTGATCCACACCATCGTTGCGCGCAAAAAACGTTCGAGGATGTGGATCCTGATCGTGTCAGGAGTCTGCCCAAAAAGCGATTGGATGAACATGAATGCCTGATCTACTCTCTGAAAGAAACCCACATGGAACCTGAAAACCGCTGGTTGATGGAGGAAGCTAGTCTTCGGTCCATTCTCAGGTTCCATCTTACTTTTTCCGGGTGTATCAATTCGTGCCTCTACAGACTCTACAGCAAGCCAAACCACAAAAAAGCAAAGCATGGCTGTTCTATTTCGGATAGTTGCAAGTAAGCGTAAACTTCTTGGGTAGCTATAGTAATTAGTAGAATATACCACCCACAAGGGGTGGAGCTCTTAGACACCCCAAACCGGGGCCCCTGTTATGCACAAGTGCCTGACCTTAAACTCCAATTCCTCTTCCATGGTGCATGATGGTACTTGATCGAGACTCTCGACATCCACCAACATGGCACGTGGAGTTGTAGTTGGCACGAATCCAATGGCACATGGTGCACCAACGGCACATGGTGCACCTAGCACTTGGTCCCGTTGTTTGCTTCGATTAGATTTGATCGAAATCATCATCACTTCTTCTCGACCACGCGATCTCTATGGTCCAATTAAGCACATCATAATTACAAACAAAAGACACGCTCGCCCCTCCAGGCACTTGGTCAGGATCTTGCTCCACAGCATGCGGCTGTCTTGTTGTGGCTCCAGTTTTTTGAACGGACTCTGCAACTGTTTCAAGTCTACAAGGGAAGAAACGCATCTTGACCAGGTTTACATGTGCCGAAAGCAAACAGCGACTAGACATGACTAGACTTACTATATCAAAGTCGAAAGGACTGAAATACAGTTCAAAAACGGGAGAAACAAGGGAATAACTAGGCATAATAGCAACACGTACCAACAAATAGGCCTGATTGCATGATTGTTTCCTTTTCAACGCTTTCCCAATTTCCAGGTCTGATTTGGGCCAGGAATGAACAAAGGAAAGCTAGCGAAAGAAACAAGAACAGCATATAGGTTAGGCATAGAAAACCATAGAAAACCAATCGTGGTACTGTAACGACTGTTCTAGCTTGTATCTTTTTCCCCTTGTGCCTAGTTGTTTGCTGGCGTGTTCCTAAGTCCATCTACAGTAAATCCTATGGCAGTTGGTATCTGGAACCTGTTCTTCTGCTGGCTCTGGCTTTATCACTAAATTTTCCACTTGTCCCAAGTTGCCTCTTTGCCACACAGGTCGTCATCCTTTTTTCAATGAATTGTCTTCGGCGATTCATGCCTCCGACACTTCGTTGAGGGCTCTTTTTGTCGCGAAACACGCTGGGGTCAAAAGGCTCTTCACCAGCTGTGGGCATTTTCTCCAAAGAACCTGACCAGATTTTCTCAAAGGTGCCTGGATCTCGTCCGAACTGGCGACATCTCGAGGGAGAGGCCTATGCAATGTTGCAATCCTAGGGTGTTCACAAACATCTCAGACTCTGAGATACTTAAAATAGGAGGACAGCCCTTAAGCCTTAGAGGCCTTGGTAGTTAGTTTGAGAGACCATCTCTCTATATGCTGATATTATTTTAAGGTCGATCTACACAGTGTATAGGCCTTGACATTGGGCCAAAGCTTCTTGGGATTTGATTGCAAACTCCAAGATTTGTCCACATGTATCTTAAGCAGTGGCAATGAATCTCAAGTGATCCTCTTTCGCAAGGAAAAACACACCAGGGCTAGCGAATGTTGTGTTGTTCTCCCATTGACACCTTGGACTCTAGTCAGTCTATAGAATCTTAATGAATGAATTAGTCTCATACCGCACTGGGCAAGCTTCTCCACTTCAGAATCTTTGAGAAATCCCTCCTTTCTAGCATGGCTCGGCACGGCCGACACCTGAGGACTGCATCAATCGACACCAGCTTTTTGCGGGGGGCTCACCTTGTAGGCGCTTCTTCCAGAACGTGAGACTGGTTTTGCGCAATTTCACTTATTTGTCTTTGATCATTTCGACCAATTCTACAGCAGTGCCATCCAATAGCTTCCCACTGCTTGGTGGCGGGAAGCGGCTTGCACGATTGCACGACGCGTCCAGCTGTGGGGCGCGCCCCAATACCGAGCAGCACTGCAGTCCGGGGCACCCGGTGTGCAATATGGTGTGCATCATTGAACGCACTAAGTGTCATTCTGCCACTGGTTTCCACATGCTTTGCAAACGCCTGTCCACGAAGTAAATCAACACACACGTGGGGGCGCAAAAAGGTGCAACACCTCTCATGACCTGCTAGGCAAGGTACCAGCTTTTTCAAAGTTGGCATCGGGACGCATCGGGACGCATCGGGGTATTCTCTCTTCGATCAGAAGAGCATCTCCCAATTTTGACATTTCACGCAGTGAAGCTCATCCTGTCGGCGTTCGTGCGAGCGACGCACGCCACGCGGATCCGGGGAGAGAGCGCAAAACCACGGAGCGATGGGCGGTATTTTGGGCGTTGCACCATGTCGTTCTGGAAAAGGCGGAGCTTTTCGACATGTGTGGCACACCAGTCAGACTAGACTATACCAAGATATGCTAAATGTTAGTCCAGCTTCATGGCATTGACATTGTCCCAACCTTCAGTCCACCAAACTCTGGGAGCTTCCCCTCGACTTCCAGCCCGGAAGTCTCGCGAGGTCTGCGTTTCGGTCAATGCAAGGTTTGTGCGTCCCGTCAGCACTGGTCACACTGGTGCGAAATTTTAAAGAACATGGTCCAATTGGTCCAATCCGCGACTCCCAAATCCGAATCCTACCGTGTGCTGGTCACAACCTGGAAATCACCCACAACCAGTTCATCCCTCTGTCCGTCGCCGTGTCCCGAGTGACACGATGGTCGTGTCTTCAGGCAACGCGTATGTGATGACTGTTACACTCCCTGGCCTTCAGTCCGGCCGTTCAGTGTTCAGTGTGAGCTGGCTTTCTGCACAAACAAACTATACCATACCCAGACGCTCCATGTAATATGCCATATATGCATGCCTACATTGGGGTGTTTTGGGGGGTCAATGTAGGCATATATAGCATACATGGAGTGTCTGGGATATGTTCTTAACCGTAAAAGACCCTTGTAAACCATATCGAGCAGCTCATGAAGACGTATTGGACTTCCAAAGAACCAGCCCGGAACCCGTGGGTTGAACCATATATGGTGAACATTGTTGAACCCATTCAGAAACCAGCACATCTCAGATCGATTCCATCACAGCTTCCTCAATGACAAGACCTTTCGACTGCTCCGAGACTGCTTAGTCTAAGTCTAAGGGGTTGGATACCCCGACTTACCTGGCCTTGACCTCTGGCATTTCGGGGTCGACACCCAATGTCGGCCCAAATGCTTCGGGGCCAAACCTCGCCGCCTGCTCCGAGCTGTCTTCGTAAACGGTCCTGATTGAAGCCTCGACATTCCTCCGGAAAGCCCAGGGTATGACCTCCCGTGACCGGAGCTGATCGGTACAAAGCACCGCGGAACGATTGACGAAGGGCAAGTGGAAAAGGCACCCGCAAAAAGCAAACACCAACAAAAACACAGGGGCACAAACAAACAAACAAACATGTATAATATGTGTATATATATATAATGACATGTAATGACATGGCCAAGAGAAGAGCACACCTTAAGACATGTGACATGTCGATGTGACTCCCATCGTTCTCCTTCCGATCTCGATCGTCGGATGTGATGCGACGAAGACGGACTCCTTTTGGGTGATTGGATGAAGACTCGGCAGTGGCAACATCTGTACAGACCCTATAGGGCTCAGTCAGGACCAAACAGGACCAGGCTGGAGATCTCTAAGTAGTGGACGGGCCCAGTCAGGACCAGACAGGAGGGTCGTATGAAACCAACTTGGGCATTCGTTCACTCCGGAGTTTTCTCGGGTGGTGGAGGTCTTCTCATCTGGGGCTCCTGGCCCACCTTCTGAGAAGATGGTTGGGGTAGGTGCGTTTTGGCGGGTCTAACTACTAAACCTGAGGATATGGGACAGGAGCCCTAAGGAGAGCCAGAGTACGATCCAAATATCAGCACCCCACACTTTTTGCCCACGAGTATTTCTAGAGAAGACTAAGTCTTCTCCAATCCTCCGCCCTGTTCAAAACCCTGCAACCTGCGAACACGCTGTCTTTTTTGTGTTGCTTTAAGGAACACCATTGAACATCAAACAAAACCCACCAACACCCTCTATCCTGGGCGACCCTCACAGGAAGGGCACTGCCAAGCAAGGCATCTCGGTACCGCTGTGCAGCTCAAGGAGCTCCTGGCCAACCGCGGGTTCCGCCGCGCGGGCGTTCTCTCTAACGTCCGTCCGCTTCGCCGAACAGGTGAAGCGGCGAAGCAACGTCGGGGAGCAGAAGCCCCAACGGTCCGTTCGGTCTGATGGTTTGGGTGAGATCTATTGTAGGTTGAAAAGACCCCCCTGGTTTGCGGTATTGTTCATCCCAAAAAGCAACCCTTTGGGTGTCCCTGGTAATGTTTGGGTGTTCATCAACCTTTAGAAAGGACCAAAAAGACATGATGTTGGGACACAAAGCGCAGCGTTTTCTATGTTGCTGTTTTCACCCATTTTTCGACGCCTCGACCCGAGCGTTTTGGTTGTTGATCTCCGCGAAACTCTTCGGCCTTAAGGTCTCCACTCGCTCGGACGCAATCGCCAGCTGCTGGTGGGTCTCGCAGCACCTGGACGGGCTGCTGGTGGGTCTCCCGTGGGAAGACTTCCGGGCAGACTTCCGTGAGGAAGGAGGAGTGGGCAAAGACTTTTGTGGGCACGTCCCTTTGCATGGTTGGGGAAACAAGAAAGATCCACTCACAGAAGCCGTTCCACGCTGGTGCAGGTCAGAAAGTCTTGGGAAGCAAGATGAAGCAAGTCACCCAATAAGGGGTGGAGCTGGATGTGCGTTTGGCCAGCTAAACAAGTTAAGTGGAAGATTAGGAAATTCTCAAATCCTCAGGCAGGAATTTCAGCACAAAATATTCTGCCCATTTCGGCCGTTTTCTGTCCCAGTGTTCCTTTTGCCCGGTGCAGTTTTCCCTGTTCAACATTCATTTGAGATGTCAGCTCAGCTCATTGTTTTTGCCTGTTGCCTGTTGCGTGGGTCTTTCTGCCTGTTTTGTACTCTTTTTCTGCGCATGTCAGGTGCATGAACATGATGCTAGCAATTCCGGTTTCTTGCTCGAGTGTTGGCTTCTGCCAACATTGGGCCTCAGGCAATTTTTGATGCAAAGAGGCAGCTTTTGCAGGAAAAGTTGAAATTCCCGCCCCAAGGATCTCATGCAGGTATTGATGGTTTCCCATTGTTCCACGCTAGAAGCTACCAACAACATCTGGGAGAAAAGGACCGGACCAGGTGCGTCATGGTGCATTTTCCCCTTTTCAAGTGCCCCAAAAAACGCGCCAAGGGAACCTGCGCTTCATTCCTGCGTCGATCATCGCTTCCTACGGACCGTCCCTAGGCCCTCCGGCGTGGGACTGGGAGTCGACTGGATCGGCCAGGTCCAAATCAAGGCCAAAAGGGACTGCCTCGACGGCTGAGGGCGGACGAGCTGCGGAAGATGTTCGAAGGATCGGTCGAAGGATCGGTCCGAGCACAGCGAGAAGAACACAAATCGACCTCAAGAGACCTCAAGTGATGAAGGAAGCAGGATTAGGAAGAAGAGGAGTCAAGAAGAAACATCTGTATAGTAAGAATTAAGAATAAGGACAGCCACAACAGCAACAACAGCAGAAAACACTCGGAAGCGTGTCCCTTCGGTGTCAGCCCCGGGAGTAACTGCAACCGACTGACGTCACTGGTGTAACAAACGGATTTGCTGTCCAGGAACCGGAGAAACACACATATTCCCAGGAAGGAGATTCACCCGTAGATCAAATACAAACCCGATTGGTAGATCCCGATCCACCAGCGAACGGGGCTCCTGGCCTTACTAGGAGCGATCGGACGAACGGGGCTCCTGGCCTCGCTACGAACGGAGCGATCGGACGCTACGAACGGGGCTGCCAATCTTTCAACGTCATCGGTGGTGCCACCGGGGACCCGGACCGACGGGGCGAACGACGAGTCCCACGCGTCCCACGACGCACGGAGAGGGTGTCAGCCGTGGAGGCGTGCACCGTCCTTCGTGGACGTCGAGAAATCGCCGTGGACGTCCAAGAAACGAATGCATTCAAGTGGCATTTGCTCTTCTGCCTCCATGGGCACAATTCTAGGAGGACCAAGTCCTGGCGGGTGTTGTTTTTGCCCAGCTGTGATGAAGAGGAGATATATGGCACTAGCCCGGTATATTATATATATATATATCAATCCCCAATCTTGTGTAGAGAAAAAGGCTTCCCACTTCTAATATTGAATAAAGTTAGTTAATCTACATTGATATACATTGGACATCATTGCACTATACACCATTTGTGGCCCCAATGTATCTAAATTCTCTAACCCTTCCATACATGGATGGTCTGGGTCGAACGCACCTTTTCTCACACAGATCGTGTTGGTTACAATAGAGCCAAGGGCTTCCAGACCTCCAACAAGTGACCGCAATGAGTCGGCATGACCCTGAACGACATGAAAACCTCTCCACCAATACCACATTTTATCTGGTTGGTGTTTTCAACCCACTTGAACAATATTAGTCAGAGGGTCCAATCATCCCCAAGTCAGGGTTGAACATACAAATATCCGAAAGCATCACCTAGGGACCTCATCGTGACCCTGGGTGAAGAGCTGGAAGGAGATACTCAGATACTCCATCAATGATTCCTATTCCCATCTTCTCCCGTGAATGGGATGGCATGGCCCCGAAAGGATTGGTACCTTTCTTCGACCGAACTGGTGGTGGTTTTCGACTTCCATTATTGTACAGCAACGATCTGAGCATTATCTACACGTGCCTTGTTTCAGGGAGCCGCAAAAGTCATGAACATGATGATTCCAATGATGACCCATCTTTGACACAGCCGATGATTGCGGAATTGTCTGGCTTGGCCCACAGCGCCACGCTTGCCTCCCATATTTGCAAAACCATGGTGGAAAGCACCAAGTTGTTGCCAACGTTCTCGTGCCTGAAATGACCTCCCGTTCCGCACCACCAAAACTGACTTGTGCTTGGTAGGGAATGAGGGTGGCTGGATCCAAAGGAATCTATTGGAAGCTCATTCCCTTATTCTCTACTAAGCACAAGTCAGAAAGCGTTCCAGGCTTCGTGCTGCGTCGCGCCTTTGCGCAGCGACTGAGCTGTTTGATCCCAAGCCCAGCTGGCTGCCCGGCGCACGTCCTCCTGGTCTTATCTTTCCGAGGAAAATCTGCAAATGCCGCAATTAGTTTGGGAATGGCGGGGGATAACATCACCAAAGATTCCAGTGTCAAAGTAACTACTAACTACTAAGTAGAGATGCCCCAATAGTGATGACATTTTGCAAGATTCTTGTCCCAGATCATACCTGTTGAGTCTGCGCTTTCTTGGATTTCCTCAAGGAGCCACACAGAAAAGTAAAAACATCTTACCACAAAAGAATTTCGCCGGAGAACAACATCGCCTTTTCTCCGTGAAACCAAAGCCATTTTGCTTCAGCCACAATGGCACAAAACCTGGAGCGGATTCCATCGGTCCTCATCGTCCGTGGAGCGTGTGGCTAACACTCCATCCATGAGATTAGCCCTGAAAACGCACGGTGGGCGCGGAACGGATCGACGATCGGACGGTCAATAGGGGTTGAGGGGCTCGTTGTGCGGGCGCGATCCGAAGATCCGAGCCAAAGAGCTGGATCGATCTTCGAGCTGCGGAAGCGTATCTGAACTTCCCCTAATGGCATGCTATAGCTAGATGCTTTTGGTTTGTCATGATTGGTGTAAAAATAGGGGGACACTGGTCGAGTTTCCTTCTTCCGACATCTTCCAACGATCTCACTAACTCAATGCACAGCACTCAAACACTCCATGTAGGGCATATTGGTACTTGATACATATCATAGATGCGAATGGTCCTGCGAGGTCCCGGCTGGTTCGGCCCAAGGGGCGAATTGTTGGAGAAGCAGGAACCGCTGTGTTTCACCTCGCTCAGCTCTTGTTCTTCTGCCTGAAGAAGGTCCGGCGGTCAGAACGGAGCGAAGGAAACGCGAAAACGGGGAAGAACCAGATGCTACGCACCTGATTTTTGTTGGACTCGTTTGTTGACTAGCCCAAAACAGCAGCCCATGGGGAAAATTGACCATGTTTGGAATTTGATCAGGGGATGATTCTTTCAGGCCGCCGATGTTCTGGTGGCACCTTTAATTTACAGCTTATTACAGCTTTACCCATTACTGGCATGGTGACCTCTGAATCACCTGAATCACACACTTAGCACGTTCCGAGAGTCACATTCCCAACGTGGGCGGAAACAACATCTTGGTCATGAGTCACCAAACATGGAACGTCCTATGCTTGGTCGTTTCCAGAGATGTTAATACAAGCATACTTTACAGGTCCTTTCCACGGACCTCATTTCACTGGGTCCGGTCATACAGCAGTATTCCAATGAGGTATAAGGCCCATGATTTACTTGATCCTTGGACTGGTAGGGATATATACAATTGTCAAATATCCCGGATCACACAAAAATTACTTGTTCCGACTATATAATTGGAGCCCCCCCAAAAGTCTCCTTTCTGGCTGGCGTAGGTAACCAGTGGCTCCAAAAACTAACTAGACTTATAGACCATCAAGTTTATCAACAATTCCCTACGCAATGGTATCTCTATGCGTCCAGCTGTATCTTTTCTTTCGACACTTCCCAGCTTCGATCTCAGCAAAGAAAACACCCCCAAAAGCCTCAGCCAATGACCACAGGGTCTTCACATGCCAAGCCCTGGCACTTCTCCACCCGTTTTCAGCCCCGCCTCATTGATGCCGATCAAGTAGATCTTCTCTCCTTGGTGATGAACACCTGATACCGCGTGAACAACGGCGGAATCGAGCCGTGAAAAACCACTGGGCGGTTTCGAAACCGGCGTGGCGATCGGCGTGGGCGGTTGGGCCATTTGGCCCGGCGAAGAACACCTGTGAGAACGTGTGAGAAGTCCTAATTACAAGACTCATCCAGCCTCCAAATTTGGCCAAAAAGTTCCAAATTCAATATCACATCTCATAACTCGATCTCAAGTAATCACATGTAATCACATACACTTCAGCTCTTGCTGTTGGTATTTCAGCAAACCATGCACATGTTGCTGCCTGTGAGGTACATGATCACCTTGATCTTCGCATTGTAAGCGCCTTGCAAGGTGACCTGAAGATCCACAGAGACGCTTCAGGTCCCGCACCCTGCGGCGGTCCAGTTCCCGATGGGTTCCGAAATGGGACATGATGTAACCTGCATTTGGGCAAAGACCCCATTTGGTCATATGGCTGCAAACCTACTGGCGATGGCCAACCTAGACCCAGGCTGCAAGCCACTCAAGCCATCCCAATGTTTTGGGTCAATGAACCTGAGGGTCTCTGCAAACCTGAGGGTTTGTGAGTCTCTGGGGTCCTGACTGTTTGGCCACAACCTGTCGACATCCCTTTCCAATCTTTCCACACACTTGACGAGAAGGGTGTTGCCCCGATGATATTGCCGCATCTTCTCATTTCTTATAAGACCCAAACGTTCCATGTATGGCATACTCATATACCTACGTTGGGGTGGTTTGAGGGGTCAATGTAGGCATATCTGGCATGCATGGAGTGTCTGGGATATAGTCATGAACAGTGCAATGTTGATAACTGTCAGCACTGTCAGCTTACCCAGAAACACATACTCAAGTATACTCAAGTTTGTCAACACACACACACACACACACTCGGTTTTGGCAGCAAACTGCCTGGAGCACTGCCGGAAAAAGCTCCGCGCCAAGACGGACGGCGTAAGTCGACGCCTTAAATGGAAATGCATGTTCCTCCTTCTGCATGAATGCCTCAAATCGACCTCGGTCACTTTCGACGACCAAGTCCTGCGCGCGCGCCCGCGGGCGGAAGCGCGCCCGAAGAGGGCAACGTGTGCAGGACTTGGTGCGCAGGAATCACAGCAGTGCCGATGTTGGGATTTCTTTGTGGCTGTTTGAACATGCCTGGCTGCATATGTCTACACTCCCTGGAATCATGGAATTGGAAACCGCGAAGATAGTCACAAGGGGCCATACAAGATATAGTGCGTCAAGGACAAATGGTCACCCGAGGGGCATTTCCACTTCCATGAAGATTCCAGGGAGTGTAGATCATCTTTTAGATACCAACGCCTTACACAAAAAAGCTGCACCATGCTTGTAACCAAGCAAACACGAAGGAATACACGATGCCATGTTGCATAAGTTTCTCCTAGAGTTGTGTTATTGACAAGCATCACAGAAAACCAACAAGATGCTTTGGGCAGGTCTTGGATGATTTGGTCAGTCCAAAGGATTCCTCCAAAAACCACCCCAAAACCAGATCCACTTCAAAAGACCCAAACCTTGGCTCCTCACCCAAAACCAAACAAACACCTCTGTAAATTGGGGTCCAAGTATATCCTCAAACATCCCCAAACCCAAAACCAATCCCATCAGACCCACTGACTCCGCTCCTTGAACTGTCGTCCCTGAAGTCCGCTCGAGCCCACTTGGCTCAGCAAAGTGCCTGGCAGTCCGTCGTCGTCCCCGAGACACCGCCCAGATTCGACCACAACGAAAGCGACCGAACGGGACCTCGGCGACAGAAAAGCCTTTTGGTTGCGCAAGATTCGACCACCAGTTTACATACCGTCCGGGTGTCTTAGGTGTAGTTCAAACCATGTTGAAACTCGGAAGGGAAACGGGACACTCAAGAAGTGCCGTGGAGTGCTCCCTGATCAAACGGCACTCCACGGTATGGACGTTACCCTCAAGTTGCTTGTCATGTGGGAGGCCATGAAAGGACAACCCTAAATCCTATATCATACATCCATGTTCCAATGTGAGTCGACACCCGTGTGTGTGTGTGTAGCATTATATACCAGGTTCAATCTCTATATAGAATCGATCCCTCCAAGATAAAAACAAAGAACATGTTGCATACCCTTGCAGGAATGGTTTCTTTCTTCTCGGGGTTCTCAGGGGAACAGTCTATAGACTCTGCGATGACTTCTCCGATGAACTCTTCAGGCAAAACTCGCCCAGCTACGCATAGAAAGCCTACTAGTAACAAAAGCTAGACTTTAGAAATCAAATCCCCCAACTCGTCACGTAGCAAAGTGCACAGGCCCTTGACTTTCTATAAAATAATCCAGGTGCAGGGTGCAAAAGTCAACAATCGTATTCCTCGGTTGATGTTGCCCATTTATTCTGCCCCAGGTGACTCGATCTCATCAAGAAGGCATTCTTTATAGAATTACAATTAAACCCCTTTGTTTCTCGTGAGCTGCGAATCTCTATGGAGGACATCGCTCTGAAATGTCGTTCGCTGTCCAGTTCACCGTCCCGTATCCTCCTGTCCGGTCACACCGCGCTACAACTCCGCCCTGGGGTCCCTCGGCCTAGCTTCCCGGGATTCGTCAGTTTCAAGGTACCTGATCTCTGAAGAAAAAAACAGGCGCTTCATCACAACCAAATACTGAGCTCACTGAACCTGGGGGCAACTTGGATGAACAAAAAGTAAAGACCAAAACACCTCAAACTCTGAAAAGACCCGTTCCTCCTTCGCGGTGGTTTGGGACTTGTCACAACTACCTCGATGGGTCGACCGATTGCTGGACTAGTTCACAACCCTCAAACACCAGACTGTGATCCTGTCCCCCGAAAAAAGCGGGTTGGTAGAAGGAATGTTGGAGAACTTGGAATTCGCAACTTGGGGTGAACTCCTCTGAAGTTGAAATGGCCAACTTGGGGACAAGTATAAGCTGAAGTACCAAAGTCCCATGACGGACCAAACTCAAAGCATGAACAACAAAACAATCTCGGCAAATCCATGATACTCCAAGTCCATTCATCGGTACCGAATCTTCACTGGTGCAAATCGGGTGCATTTAAATGTGAACACCTTTGGTATCAAGCTTCACTCATGGAACATGCGTGAACCTTGATACCAAAGGTGTACAAACATCAAATCCTAGACATTGGCGGCTTGGAAGGGGCGGGGGTGAGCATCGACCAGACAGGGATGAACAAAGCACTGTGATTCTGCGGCAAACGACCAGAACTTGTCTGTCGACCACCAGTGGTTCGGGGCAAACATGGTCATACCACAACATGGCCGCCAAAAACGCCAATGCACACCTGGCGGCGCAAACATGTTCTACAGTAATAAGTAATACTATATATTATATATATAATGCGACAGCGACAGGAGATGTTCCAGGTCTCTAGGAGATGTTCCAGGTCTCTCATATGGTGTATGTGTCAAAACAAATTCCAGTTCAAATTATGAAGGATTTGGCCACCCAACAATCGTTAGGTGTCCAGTAACTTTCCACTGCATTGTTTCCATGTTGTGTTGCTGGCGAAAATAGAAAAAATACACAAATTGGCGCCCTTTGTGAAACCAATTCATGGGGTCCTTCATTCGCCATTCAACTTCGAAATTGATTTCAGAAATGTCTCAGTAGGCCAGTTCGAGGACAACATGTCGGAACTCGACCCTTCACAGTCACAGTGACCGTTGTTTTTGTTCGCCGGCTTCGCTCACCAGTCGCCCCCCCCAAAGAGAGACCCGGTTTTCGCGGCGAGCCGAAGAAGCAGCCGAGCGAGCCGAAGGAACGGAACAAATCGATCGAGGAACCATCCAATTCCACAAAGGCATCGCACAGCATGTCCAGCAAATGTTGGAAGGCACCTGGCCATGGCCATGGCAACCAAGCAGAAAAAGGGGCCGACATGTCAATCATCTCCAAGATCTCTGCCACTTCATATCTGGGGTTTAGTCTCAGACTTATAGTCACTTGCAAGCTTACCACGCAACTAAAACAACAAACATAAGAGATCATAAAGAAAGACCCCGCCAGTGTCAGGTTTCAGACGACAGGGAAAGCTTCTTGATCTGCCTAGAAGTTTTGAGCGACTTACTTCTTAAAGACTTTGAACTAGACGATCTGCTCTTTCTCTCTAGATATACAGTATATATATAGTTTAAACACATGCTGGGGCCACGCAACCACAAATATGTTCTTTCTTGTCTCTACAAGGGTTCAAAATCTGATGCCCCAAAGGAACCTACAAGTAGCAGAACTAGTGGCAGTGGTAGTCGTAGCCGCAGCAGTAGTAGTAGCAACAGCAGCAGTCATTTGCTTTGCTGCAGTGATAGTGATACTATGCGATACTCGTACTGTTCGTACTGATAGTGCTTTTAGATATTGTTGCTGTTACTAGCAGTGGAGGTGATAGTACTAGCAATGGGAATGATATCAATGGTACAGTAGGAATCGCCCTCCTCGTCCTTGCTGGTCCTCCTCCTCATCGTCGTCGTTGTAGTGTGCATACAACATATTTTGGTGATAAGTAGTAGTGACAGCAGCTATCGATGTGTGCATCGCTTGTACGGAATCTTTTGCCCTACCCCCGGAGACCAGATTGGAGCATTTGGTTGTTCGTTTGCTTACCCCGCCAAAAACATGCAAAACAAAACCCAAGGGAGCCAAGTGCAAGACAAACGCAATCAAACGCAAACCACTACTTGGGATACCAACCCTTCCTCCGACTTTCAAAGCTTCAACCATAGCTCCGACCCTTGAAGGTCCAAACTCGTCATGTGACCTGGATGTCGGGCACCTGCATTTGTCTCCACCACCACCACCACCACCAACAACAACCACAACCACAACCACAACCACAACCACAACCACAACCACAACCTCCCAACAACACCAACAGCAACAGCATCTGCATCGGCAACTGCACCATAGCCAAATAAGTATAGATCTGCGGCATAGAGGTCATCACAACCCGGAGCTGAATCATGTCGAACGACAAAGCCCATCCATCGCCAGCTCATGCATCTTTGTCGAAGCCCAACAGTTTGACGTCCAGTTTTCCTAAACGCTTGGGCTGTCTTCCCATGCGTGTAGCCGCGATGGGTCTGGGCAAGAAATCGCGGCAATGTTCACTGTGTTAACTTGATGGGTCTGCATGTCATACTCAGCATGTCAACTGCATGTCATACTGCTTCTCCCTAACTGCGACATGATCTGTCGGATCCGAAGAACCACAGACTGCTTTGCACCGACCTTTTCCAGGTCCTGGTAGGTCGAACGCAAGTCGCAGTCAGACTGGACTGGTCGCGTCGCTGGATGTATCGGGCTCGTCAGCCGAGGCTTCTGTAATTACGAACGGGATGGAAAATGACAGGTTGATGTGCATCACGCGGCGTGGAATTCGGGAACCAGGCAAGGGTGTCAAGGTTTCAGCTCCTACATCCATCAGCTACATGCTCAAAACACCATAGCATGACAATGGACTTCAAGACATGGTGATTGGTTGGACATTGTGCCAAGAGATGCTTGGGATTGCGTATGCAACTAGCCAAGCCTGTATAATTACATAGACCAGCGGCTCCACATGCTATGCCATTCACCTCTCTTTTTCACACCCAAGCCTTTGGTACACTCCACCAGCTGCGCCCTCTCTTCGATGGCCCTGCGGTCCTGGTCCAATGAGCGAAGTCTCAAACCGAGACTAAAACCGCCATGGTACTCGCCGTGGTAACAGGTGTGCTTCAGCCACATTGCTAGCCTCTTTTCATCTGTTTCCATCAAAAAATCAACAGAATGTCAGAATGAAAAAAACAATTACTTTTTGATGTTTACTAATCTGTTTCCTTTTCTGGCAACGCAGAATGTCAGGACAGGCATCGGCTGTGGGACGCACCAGGATCCTCAACAAGTGACCTCCGGCTGCCTGGTCGTGCCAGCCATGCCACATCCCAAGGTCTAAACCCATCATGGACATGTCCACGCTCCAATAAAACCCCATACCTGACCATCCTTGACATGGGTGTCCTGGCTAAAAGTTGTGGGCTGGAGCCCATCCAGCCAGGACACCCAAGTCCAGGATGCTCTTGCAAAAACCGCCCCAGCGTCCTGTTCAGCCAGGTCCGCCTTCATCAATGCCATCCGGGCGTCGTGTTCCGCACGCGCCAAGCGTGCCTCCGCCTGAAGCGTATACCGCGTCCACCGGTGCAAGATCGCTGTGGAAAAACACCGAGATCGCTTGGATTGAAGACTGGACCAAGGTTTAAACACATGGACTTCGCCCTTGGTGGCCCATCTCAAGAGTCTGACTGCTTCCAGGTTACCTGACCAGTGCGGATGGGTGAGTCTGACTCGCAGACTCTCCGCACGACTGAAAAGCTGCACCAGGCACGAATGACACGGACTTTTTCAGGCGAAGCCGGAGCCATCGCTGGCTATGCCAAGCTCGTGAACGATGCTCTGAGTCTCCGCTCCTTTTGTGTACGGTGCATCGGAAGAGCCGGCGTAGGTAGAAGCGATATGCGACCAATAAGACCAATTGGTCAAATCGAAAGGAACTGCGACTTCCAGTCCACCACTGAGACTTCTTGAGTTTATCTGATCAATCATGTTTAAAACAAACTCAAGGACTCAAGGTTTGATTCTTCCAACAACAATTTGGTTGAGGAAAGAGATTGAATAAAGGAAAAGCACAAAATACCCGTTGTACACCTCTGGGTTGAAGCCAGTTTATGCATCAAGTCCTTGGGTGCAAAGACTCTGGTGGGAATATTCTGGGTGTCCAGGCTCACAATCAAGGAGCAAAACTTTAGCTTGTGAAATCACATGGGTCAAAGACTTGTACCATCTTGTACCAATACAGGGAGGAAAGGGTCAGGGGATATTGGTATATAGTTATTGGTATAAATTGGTGAGGATGACAATTATAATACACTCCCTGGAACTAACATGGGAAGTGGAGAATGGCCCCTTGGAAGACCGTTTTCCACTACAAACAGGTGGTTGTCCACTTCCATGTTAGTTCCAGGGAGAGTAGATGATCATGATGTCATCATTGTTTTTACTATGCTTTAGTTACCCTCCCCTACGTCCAAACAGTCTTCTAATCACTCCGGACGGGTACTATGTATTCCATTGTTCAATGTACCAGTTGTTCAATGAATTAGTGGCTTTAACATGTCTACAGTAATGATATATCTGTTTTCTTTTGATGGATGACACATGTTTCCTTAGACTCTAGATGCTTCAACAATCCAATGCCCCCAATTCAACACCACCACGAGCTAGGTCGTTGCAAGGCCTCAGCCAGATTGGCCCGTTCCTCCGCAAGCTTGGCTTCCTCCTTGCGGGTGACTGACGGATGCTCCGCACCATGTCCAGATCTTGTGAGCGCTGTGACTGACGGATGTTTAAAGACTAATACGTAATAGCTTTGAATAGCTTTGGCATAGGAATTCAACCTCTATACTGTTTAAATCGGCCCTTGGGCCCTTCACCTCTGGATTTGTTGCTCGTCGGACCTGAATGACTGGCGAATCCGAAATCCCTTGTCCTGGGACCGCATGAAATCGCTACAGTATGAGAAGCTCTTGATCTGCAACATAGAGGAAACTGGCTGGAAAGTTCCTCTTTGGTGAAACTACAGTTTCTCTGAAAACACCAGCCATGTTGCATACAAAATCATACAAAAAAACATGCAGGTATAATCTACCCCAATCGGCCAGTCCATTTTGGTTGTGCCTTCCACCTTCAATCACCCTCTGCCTGCCTCCACTCCACCGGAGGAGTGCCCCTGCGCCCGCCTCGCGCTTCAGCGCCATCAGCCGAGCCCTCTGCAACTCTCGTTCCACCTCCGCCTCGCGCGGTAGTTTTTCGTGTGAAACGGGCGAAGAGCACCATCCACTGTTTCAGGAAACGCGGCGCAAAATACAGGAGCGTGTGGGGACGAACAAAACATCAGCATATCAGCTGGGGAAGCAGCTCAGAAGTGATTGTTGTCTTTTCTATTCCCTCGACGTACATACGTTTGTCTGACTCTTTAGCGGTGGATTTTGGGTCCGAATACCTTCGATGTAGTTCGATTCACAAGCCATAGGAATTAGATATGACTGGGCGGCTCATTGTTGTTCTATTTTGCACACAAAAACGGGGTATTGTGAACATAAACCAATTTGGTCCCCATCTGGAACAATAGAAGTATTATTCCAGTGTGGTCCGGCATACGTACCCATCCTGGAATAAATATGTCCAAAGAATCTGGAATAGATTTATATACATTTCTTGAGCAACACAATGTGAACACATGAGCATTGAATATGACTTGCTGAATCTCAAGGCCGCCTTTACTCTTGTTCATCTTCAAACCTCTTGGATTTCCAGGGCATATTCACAGGTCGAGTGCGTCCCCATACCTCTAATTGTGCCCCAAGCAGGTCTACACCTCCCACCTCTCCATCCCAGCTCCATTCTAGCTGTTCAGTTTTGGTTGCTTGATGCTGCTAGACATTGCTAGAAAGTCTTACTTGTAGCCCCTGGAAACTCTCCACCTGTGAGATTCTCTGTGCCTCACCTCTGGAAGTTATTTGTCTCAGCCGTGCCTTCACTGACCTACCCACCTCCTGCCAATTCTCACAAGCTCTCCCCTCGGCGGCAATGATTCCGGCACATTCATTCACAAGTCAAAAATTAACAATTACTTGCAAACCTACCTCCGTACCTGCCAGGTCTACACCTCCCACCTCCCCTCAGCAGTCTTTCTTCTAGGGCACATTCAAAGGCTAAGTGCACAGGAATAATTGATTCCCCACACCTTCTACCCCCTTCCATTCCACTCCACAGGGCCTCAAGGCCAGCGTGGGTGCCAGGGCCCCCGCAATGTCTTCCTTTTTAATTCACTGCCTGGACCTTTAAGACCCAGTCAGCGGGGTCTTGTGGGAAACCATGCTGGTATTCCCCCAAGAAACCCAAGAGTGCATTGAGCAACCAGTGCGCTTGAGCGGTGAAGAGAAAACCAAATCCTGGTCCACCCAATCAACTGCCGAAACTCGTCGGCGCTGAATCTGCAGTCTGCGTGTACAAGCCCCCTCCAAGTTGTTTCAAATCCCTGCCAAGCTGCCAAGCTGGTGCAACCACACGGCGTTTCCAACTCTAGAGACATTCTTTCCGAGCTTCCAGGGTCCGGCACGCCTCTGGAAGGGATGAATCAGCGATGTGAACAGAGAAAGCTAACTCTCGCCCAGCGGATGTCCGAGTCTGCTTGGTGCGGCAGCCTGTCTTGGATCGCAAAGAAGACCCCCAGTGCCATAAGGAGCGCCTCATCGGCCCGCCTGCTGCTGCCCTGCGAATTCCTCAAGTTTATTCTTGCGCACGTGGAGCCAAAGACCCACTCAGTCAGAGACATATGAGATACTGTAGGCCTGAGGCGGCCTGAGGTTTGTTGCATTGGAAACAACGACCGCAACACGCTTCCTAAGTGGGGCAATCATTCGGAGCCAAGAGTCAGGTCTACACCTCCCACCTCCCCATCTCAGCCCTACTCTGGCTGTTCAACTTTGGCTGCTAGGCTGTCGCCTCAGGAAACTCTCCACCTGTGAAATTCTCCGTGTCTTAGAAACTCTCCACCTCTGTCTTGTCTCGGCAGTGCTCCTTCACTCACCTACTCAACTTCCCAACCTGCAATCTCGGCGGCAATTACTTCGAGCCAGCTTCAGATTCTATGCGAAGCAAAGCTGAGAAAGTACACCAAGATCCAAACAGCTGACATGCATTCTTCATGTATTCTTCCGGTATGTCTTGACATCACATGCACAAACTATTCCTGGAAAACATCGACCACGCCAAGCAAGGGGTCTGGAACCTAGGTTTTTGAATTAGTTGCCCTAATTATTCCTATTAGTTATTCCCAGACCTGACGTGACACCAGGAAGAATACATGAAGGCACCCTACATAAAAAAAATAGTTGAACAGTGCAAAAGGTGTAGAATCCACCTGAGTCCTTTTTGTGAGCACTGACAAACTCTCAAGGATTTAATGATTTTGAGGTAGTGCTAGAATATATACATATAATATATATCACGTCAACCCAACAACCAAAAGACCACTGAAGTACTGTTCAGTACTTTGCAGCAAATGACTCTCATATGAACATCTCTGAACCTCAAATCTGAACATCTATGACCTATGAACCGTCTTGATGGTCCACAGTCGTCCACAGTCGAATACCACAGTCGATTTGGTGCGGCGCCTGTGAGCGATTGATGTGAACCACCACCCTGGGTGCCGTGTCGACCGTCGACGCCGCGCGGTGTGGCGCCGTGTCGACCGCGGGTTCACGGCTCGCCACATGCGAACAACACCAACATCTGGACCTGGGGAAGGCCGAACTGATCGGTGTCAGGAATCCTTGGTGTTTGCAGCTCCCAAACCCAAAAGAATGGTTTTACCTCAAGGAGAAGGAGCAAAAGCGTGACAAAGCCTCAAGCAGTGAGAGGAGAGGCTCTGTTACACAATACTCTTGATCAAAGAAACTAGGAGCTTGCATTTATGGCTTCACGCAGAAAAAGACGCCCCCACAGTTCCTTCCTCGACGGGATGTCGACCCAACGAACGCCATGCTGCTGGCTGTACTTGGTGAAGACTGCCATGATCGTGACCAAGACAATTTGCATGCCGATGGCGGGCTTGTACTGCTTCTCGTGGCCTCCGCATCGATCGACGCGGCGACTCCGACGTGGCGCGCTGGGTGTCCAAACGTGGCGCGCTGGAGTCGTGTGGTATGTAGATATGCCATGGAGTGAGGGTCTGGGATACATGTCTTCATTCACATCTCGCAAAAAAGGATCGCACAAATTCTGGTCCTGAAAACATCCCCTGCACAAGTGAGAAAACCACTGTCTCAAGATAAGGGAACATCTGGCCAACCAAACACCCGGAAGACCTGTAGTTCGTGCAGTTTGAGTCTCAACAAAAAGAGCCCAATCCTGAAAGATTTATAGAGGTCTATCTTTACAAGGACGTATGGAATGACACTACTCCCTATTTTTGAGCGCCAAATTGTGTTCTTCCACCAAACGCGCCTGGTGCTGCCAAGGTCACCACCAAGAAGAACATCGAGTGGCCAAACGTCAGGAGCCAGACCTCACGCGCAGGCTCGTTGGTACAGCTGCTTGTTGTGTGTCTCGGTGTTGAGAAACCTCTTTTAAAGCTAGTTCTGCAGCCACAGAAATCCCTTGGTCCCTCAAAAGCTAGGGCGTAGAGATTTGAGACCCCAGACCATCCCAAACCCGTGCATGTGAGGGTCCAGGAGCGTTTGGGTAACTGATATAGTTCAACCCTAGCCTTCCAAGACCATTAATTAAATGAATGGATCAGAAAGGTTGACCTGGTGTTGTAGTCTAAAATCCTGACCATGGTTGTTCGGTCGTGTTCGGTGAAGGCCATCAACGGTGTGCGCCGGGAATCCTAGGGTCTCTTCGTCCGGCGACGGGTCTTGAGCCGTCCGGAAGTGGCATGCTGCATGTCAGAACCCACGAGGCTTCTCGCCCTCCAAAGTCCATTCACTTACTTCGCCAGCTTCATTCACTGGGCCTGCTGGACTGGGCCCGACTGGGTCGCCCTGGGTGCTTCATCGATGCGCTCCGTCCATGAAGCACCACCGCTCCACGAATCGGGTGGCTCAAGCGATCGGCCTGTCAGACTTCAAGTGACAAACTTCAAGTTACTACTAGTAAGGCACCTGTTACTAGTAGCGATGCACTTGTTACTACTAGCTTCTGTTGCACAGTCCAACAGGTGACCACATTCGTTGAAGTCTCCATTGCCCCCCACCATTTCGGAGACCCTTTTGGGAGCCGGACTCGGGTGCCGGTAGTTCTCCCAGGCACTCCATAGGACTGGAATATGTATACTGTTTCTCGGCATATATGGCAGTCCCATGGGTCATGTCTGGGTGCGCAAGTTCTGGAATCATGGAAGTGGATAGCATGGCCCCTTGGGTATGGAAGACACTTCGATTCTTCCGGGGGTGAGGTGTACTACTCAGCTCTCTGCGATGTTTTTGTTCAAGGCGCCCATGGTCGAGGGAGGCCCAATCCAAGCCTCAGGAATGCGACTGACTCTGCGGGATGGATGCCAAAAACGTGACCACCATCGAAAGAACATTAAATATCTGATTGAAACTGATTGTAGTATACACTTGTCCAACCTTTTTGGATCTAATTGAAAGTCCACATGTCAACATATGTATCTCTCGAGTTTCACACGCACTCTGTTGACATCTTCAAGGGGTCTTCATCTATTTTCATAGACACCCAAAAAGTGGAGCCTCCAAAAGAATCTTCGACATCAAAATAGAAGGGGGCGGGGCCCGGGCCCCGGGCGGGGAGCTGTTGTTGTACGGGAGCTGCCCTTGGCAACTTGGTGGCATCGTGGTGGCCGTGTCGGTCGGAATCCTTTTCGGAAAGGGCTCAACGGAAGCACTGGTCAACTACTGTAGTTGTAGAGCGGTAGATGAAATTGCTTGCAAAGTGAACCTTCCACAAGTGTATGTGTATACTATGAGGTTGCTAGCAGATCCTGGTAGCGATGGTCGGCAACGATCAAGGACTGCTCAGGGTGACCGTGATCCAGCGAATGGAATCATCAAACCACTCCACGCCTTACTTCAGCACAGGTTTTCCCTGTGCACCTGGACGTCCCCGCACATACCGTGGACCCCTGAAACCAACCCTGTGACTACTGTCTATATGAGTGGCGGACAAAACGTCTTCGTGTCCCCAATGCCAATTGAAAGTATTTGGGGTTGTCCTCTATCGATATCCAGTGTTTTGGAATGCAGGCAATAAGCTACTTTCAATGAAGCAAGGGTATCGGTATAGGGTTGACCCATGTTGACCCCTATCGGTTTTTGCAAGGTCTTGACCAATTCAGACCAATTCAGATATACTTAGCGTGGCTCAGAACTAAACATGTTGGATGCTCATATGCCATACATGGAGTGTCTGGAATATGTGCATCATATGAGCTGATGGCGAAACGCCCGGAATCCACTGAATCAACCGACCCTCCACATCTCCAGCAGTTCCAATCCCCTTTTTGCACCTCCCGGCCGCCGGGAGTTGAGATTGGGCACACTGGAAACAGTGTGCCAAGACTGGCGACTGGGATGCAATCTTGCTGGGCTCGCACCAACACATTTTCGCACGTAAGATTTTAACTCAAATCCCAATGGCTCGTGACACTATGCCCAACATAGACACTGGATGAAACTGGACCTCCACAGATTGAGTATGCTCAAGTAAGCCTTCAGTCCGTATGCTCTGTCCAAAGGTGAATGGCTCTCAGATCTCAGATCCCTTCCACGACGAGTCGGCAATGAACGAAAACCCGCCGAACAGGATTGCTGCTCCAGAAACGAGACAACGGCGAGGAAGACCATGTGGTTCAGCCAGATGTCTTCGTAAAACTTCAGCCCTGGGTCCTAGGCCCGGTCGCCGTCGGAGCCAACACCGGGAGGTCACTGAAATGTTAGGACCGTCCTCTCCATGGCCCGTATGGGTTCGATGGCTACCTCGTGAGAAGCCCGGATGCTTGGGGAAACGGTTTGGGTTGATGACAAGACATGAAAAAAGACAGCACCCTTGCAGTGTGACGTCTGTTGCCTTGCAATAATACATAAATATATATATTGATTTATTTATATGTACACACCGTCTGAGCGTCCTCAAGCAGTCTCCGACGGAGTGAGGCCGCATGAAGGAAACATTGCATCCTTCCTTGTTCGCTCTCACCCTCCCTCTTGCCATCTGCGCCTACCAAAGTGGTGGTTGAAGCACGTGACATGTTTATTCATGTATATTCTACTGGAAAACATTGAAGGAAGTCTAGCTTGGGAAGAGCATCAACCAAGCAGCTGGCCTTAAAATGCTCTCTCGGAGGGACCTCCGGGTACTAAGTTGCATCTGATCGAACTTGGTTCTCCCACCCAATCTTGCACCTTCGTGTTCCACCCGAAAACCGCCCAAAAGTGAGCACCCACCGTGGACACCACGTGTAAAAGCTGGCCACTACAAAGGCTACCACAGACGTGCTCGAGTACCACAAAGCCAGTAGCCTTGGTCAGCAGAGTGCGGCATACTCAACACATTCGAGTCCGCACGGATGCTTCACCCCCCTTTTGGGGCTTTCAAGGCAATTGAAATTAAGATAATGGTTGACCTAGTCTTGTAGTTGGAACTCGTTCTAATTATCAAATAAGATCCAATGAGGGTTCTTTGGTATAATAACATGTAAAACATATAACAACCATGGTTGGAATATCCCAGATGTTTAAACAAGAACCATCAGGACCTTCCACACCATGGCTCTCTCTCAAACAGCTCTGACTCACCGCGATGTCGAGCACTCGACACTCCGGCGGACACGCGAGGACTCGACGCGGTGCAAAGCTTGACGCGATTCGCCCAGCGTTTCTCCGATGTTTGCTTCATTGAGTCCCTGAAGTTGTTTTTCTTTTTAAGGCCGAGGAGCGCCCAAATGATCATCCTCCAGCGCTGGTTGGGGCGAAGTTGCAGGATCCAAAGGATGGAGACCAGAAAAAGTGTAAACAAGTTGATGTCGCCGTACCTGGCGTCGATCATCCGACTATGGCAGAAGCGACCCAACTCGACGTATGGCGGTGGTTGTTTCTTCTCTTAAGCTGCGCCGGGACGTGGGGTGGGATTGCGACGAGACCTTACTAAGTCATTGTATCATGCCAAACATATGCAAACATCGGGAGAAGATGCGGCGATTCTAAGTAGTGACAAGCGTGTCACACGAAAAGTGCCACCCCAAAGTCAGCCAGAAACTGGGGAAGTGCCTTCTTTCCACCGATGTATCAACTTCAACTTGCATCTACTCCAGAGCGTAACTGTCCTGACCCAAAAAACCTCCTGTCGCCATCTTCTGCGCAGACCGACCAACAACGAGGGACCCGAAGCTTCGGAAGTCTGGACCAGTGACCAGTCTACCCAGCCAGGGCCAGGATGCATCTCCCAAAAAGATCAATACACTCCAGTGCAGTTCATGTCATGTCTCTGGCCAGTCTACACTGACCAGCCATGTCATGTCTCTGGCCAGTGAAGTTTGCTTCACCTTGCTTCAGACCGGACGAAGAGGGGTTCATACCAGTCGAATCGAGCCGTTGGACAATCCGATCAAGCAGTACTGTCCAAGACACATAAAGCTCAACTGCGTCTGTGTGGGATCTTCTTCAGAGAAATTTCCTCAGTGAAGATGTAGGAAAATGATCTTGTCATTTTAGGTTATCAAACTCACGTTGGCATATGTTCGACGGTTTTTCGGTTTCAACAGAACAGTCTTCACTCTTCTCCTTACTTTATCTTTCAGGTGTACTATACTATATATCTTGCTTACTATATTAATTGCTTAATTAAATCTGGCTTGGTTGCTGATCTTGAACACCCTGTAATCAATGCCTCTAAGCAAAAAGCAATCACAAAATCGTCCTGAAACAAGCATCTCTCAGCAGAATCCTGGCATTCAACCTTTTGAATGGACAACCATCAACAACTGACGTGACGTATCTCAGCTGCACCACCAACCGGAGGAACCTCGCGTGGTCTGCGCCGCCCCCCCCCGGGTCTGGATGTTTAAAGAAGAAGAAGAAGAAGAAAAAGAAGAAGAAGAAGAAAAAGAAGAAGAAGAAGAAAAAGAAGAAGAAGAAGAAAACAAATAGTAATAATAAGAATAAGAAGAAGAAAAAACATAAGAATAACAATAATAAGAAGATGATGATAACGATGATGAAATATGATGAACAGGATGACGATGAAGTTTATCATGATGATGGTGGTCCTGATGCTGGTGATGATGTTGATATTTGTTGTATTGACGATCATGACTCACGACGGCGGTGATGATACGGCACAATATCTTGGCGATGATGATGATGATGATGGTCACGATGTTAGTTGCTGCTGCTGCTGCTGCTGCTGATGATGATGATGATGATGATGATGATGGCGACGATGGTGATGATAACATATTGAAGGTGACAGTGATGATCACGACGATGATGATGACGATAGATGTGTAAGTCCTGAAAGCAAAACAACTCACGTTACAGGTGAGAGTCCGAAATTCCGTTCCCTTTTTCTACGTCTAACGCAGAGTCGCAGCTGCTGGTAAGAACCTCGAGGCTTGCAAAAGTTCTCTCATTGAGACGACTCCCAATCATTCCCACTGGGATCAATATGTTGTCTCCACAAGACAACTCTATAATGACTCCAAAGCTTACCGGAGCACAGCAAAGTTTGCATCACGATCATCATATTCATCATCTCTTCACAATCATCACCACCCCCACCATGCATAAATCGTTCAACTACACTTTCTCCGCTGCTCAACACCGCTGAGCGATGTGAAGGTTGTAGGAACGAGGGAACCTGGACTACATAGTATATGTGGTTGTCAATCGCATATCGTTGTATGACGTTGAGATATGTGTTTCATCTGAAGCACAGGAAACCAACTTCAAGCGTCCAACCACTCGACTGGACGCCAGTCACGACCGGACGATCCCTGCACCGAGCATCGAACTAACGAACAGGCCACCGTGGTACAGCAGTAAGGCCCAATGGCCTGCGCGGACGGAATTGGAGGGTTTTCCGGGGCGAAAGGTGGGGCTCACAAACTGTTGTACCCTGTGAGGCACTATGCCCAAAGCGGTGGATTATGTTGAATGATGTTGTATGGGTATACGGATGGAAACGAACCAGTTGCAAACCACCCATTCAACAGGTGCAAACCATTCTCCCCTTCAAGCAATTTGTTGGATCCCCCCAAACCAAGCAGTTTTGAGAAGTCCCAGGAAAGTCGCCACTAGGAAGCAAAATGCCCAGGAAAAACGTTGGGGCAGCTGGGAAGCACATGTTTTCAATCCCTCACAAATGTCTTCACACTTACTTGATTGAATTCAAGGTCTTTGTTCATTATCATGCTTACTCCAAAAAGTCTGTCTGCCCTTGAAAACAACAATTCCATCACACTTGAGTGAACAGTTTAAGTTGTCCTTTGACCGTTCAATTGTGTGCCTTTCCTTTCACGCCATGGCATGCTTCGTGTTATTTATGCTTCGCTCACCATCAAAGAGCGGAGCACACCCTTTCGCTCACCAAGTCCTGTGAGGGCCCAAGAGGGTCAAACCACCCTTGCTTCGCTCGTCCGACCCCGCTCGTCCGTGGTTTTCCAAACGGCAACGGAGGGTCCAATGATGCCAAAAGGGCGTGACGAACGTGACGAACGCGAAGTGCGTCGTCAGTCGCCCGGGCGTCCCGTGAAGAATCTGGTGCAGGGGCCCAAGAGATTACACCTTTCTTTTGTAGGAATATGCAGGAATACACTAAATGAGCAGTCACATGCGAATTGCAACACATCAAACAAGAAATCACCCTCAGAAAAAGAAAGAAAAAGAAAAAACACCCGAGGTCCTGATGCACAGTTGTTTCATGTTGTTTCGCTTGTATTCTTTTGCTGATACATACAGTAGTTCAAAACAAGCAACCTGTTGACACTCATTGGACACTCCATACAACTTTGAGGGCTCGGTGTGCTCTTTTTGAAGATTTCGTGTTTCTCGACACCGAAACCCGAAAAATCGCTCTCCACACGTCGCTCTCCTGGGTTAGCACATCAAATGCAATTTCCCCTTGGACATCGCATTGCCTCGGGCAGCCAGAGCGACAAGGCTTGACATCCAAGTCTTGGGTAGACCCCATTACCAGGTTTCAGTGGATGATGGATAGGTTGCAGGCCTTTCCCAAAAATAGTGATAATCTTTGCGCGACTGTGACTGGTACTGGGACGCGTCCTATCCAAGACACCAACCGAGAGCCACGAGGACTTCATTGACACATAGAAATGAACTGCTGGAGCTTGGGGGATGATGTATATTGGATTGATGGATCTGATTGGCTGGCTTCGCTCATCACTCATGACCCTCTCTTGAGACTCTGCCATGTAAACATCTTCCAATGCTTGCGATCAGTTCATGTCTTGGGAGGGAATCAGTTCAATTCATGTCGATTCTACACTTCAGCGACTGGGCTCAGATCGAGAGCCTCTATCAGTATACTGAGTGTGCAGGGAAAACTTCGGAACGTGTGTGTGATTGTGTGTGTACTTGTGTGAGCCTTGTGTTCAACTTCACAATCACTCTGCAGGACGAGGGTTCAACACAAGGTAATCATCGCATTGCAAATCCTAGAGCAGGAGCGAAATACCCGATCCCTATAGGCCCTGAGGACCAAGTTTCTTGAAACAGGATCTCCAATAATCCTCCTAGCCATGAATGTGGATCAAACACATGATCCTAATATGATCCTATCAATCTTGAGACTCCTTAGAAACACCATGAAACACCCCACCCTCTGAAGGCTTGTTATACAAAAAGGAAGCAAAACCCACATCCTCTTCGGTGTTTGGCCCCTGCTGTTCCAACGGTCCCTGGGCGATTCGAACGAGTTCGTTCGAGTTCCGAACCGCGAGCCGAATCAGCGAGACGGAGCGAGACGTCGAAATGAAAGGAGTGAGGCTTTAAAGAACCATCTGGGACTTACTTACGACCATGAGCGGTCAAAAACGACTCTGGATCCACATGAGTATGGTGTATTTTTTGGGCAATGAGTATGGAGTTTTCCTTGGTGTCTGGGACACCACACCACACGGGACTTTGGTCCACTTAAAGTCTTCTGATTGTCCTGGTGCATCTGCTTAAAGACTGACTTTCCTATATCATCCTATATCATTAGCTCGTTCCCTAGACATGAATGAAATGGACAAATGCTGAGCACCTGTGGCCGAAGCATTGCAGTTCAAACTATGACACCCTGACAGTACAACTTGATCTCTGCACATTTACTCTTCTTCAACAGTTCAGTGGCCATTGCCAGGACCTTGAGTCTGTTCTCATTATAACTTTAAAGCAGCAGTGACTGAGGCAAGAATTTGGCAAAACAAAAACACACACACACACACACATCGTGTACTTAGATATCCCTATCATTCCCTGCAGTATCACATACAAGTATGATATGCTATATGATTCTCCAAAATTCTCAAAGACTCAGCAGTCCACCCTTCTCCCCCTTCCCATCCAAGTGGCCACAACGACTGCCCTCGCTCCACCGGCTCCACGTCGTCGACCGCTTCCACCGACGCGCTCGGGACGTGCGGCGCGACCGACGAGAAGTGCTTCGTTCGGCCGTGGAGATTCAGGTCCTGGAGCAGCGAGCAGTGCGTCTCGGGGGGTCTGGGGGATGGTCTCGGTGGAACCCCAAACATACACCCTGGAAGACGATCCCATGGAACCTGACAACCCCTGGTTGGTAGAGGAAAATAGTCTTCCATGGGACCATTGTCAGGGTCTATGTTAGTTTTCGGGAGTGTACGTCATACGTCATTCATACGTCAACAGGCTTTATGTGGTATTGATCATTTGTTATTGAACCCACGAATCAGTTGTTGTGATACGTGTTCTCATTTCAGCTGAGCCCAAGCAGTACTTCAAAGATGTATGATATCGACTATCGAATTTGCAAGCAACATGTCTTCAGCCAAAAATGATGGTTAGGAGAACAGCTAAAGAGACTCTTACTCTTAGTTGGGCAAGGCGGCAAGGCGTGGCAACCTGCTATCTAATTCTTTTGTGAGTAGGACAAGGTGTAGAACCTGAGTAGCAGCTATGGACCTTCCGCATTTCCCTGGGTCTGGAAAAACAATTCCATCACAAGTCTTAGTCACTGGACCTGCTCCGGACAAACTCCAAAAACTCACACAGGCTTACCCGGTGGTCCCCTGTAAAACGAAGAAAAACATGGAATTGCTCGTGAAGGTTGGCCCCGAACTAGGACCAATTTCCAGCACCGGGCCCAGCATGCCACGGATGGAACTCCTTGTAGCTCCGGGCTTGAATGGGGAATATGTGAATACCTCCGGCTCCTTAGTTCCCTCCTCTCATGAGCAATATACTATAATACAGTACAATAGGGAGACCACAGGGAGACCTTTCAACGATGTGGAAGAATGACTGTGTCGTGCGAGACCTGTGGTCTTTCCACCATTTAAAAGGATCACTGACCCAGCATTAGAAGTATACAAACTAGCACTAGTCTTCCAGTGATGTTCACGTCCCATGTCCCAAGCTTCTAGAGGTGCTCAATTACTTATACCCCCCTCTGAACTCTTGGCTCAAATCCCTTCAGAACTCTCTTGACTTGGCCCCTTGGGGGATGTATAACTGCATGATCTTCGATTCGAACGCATGCCACCTCTCGCCTCGACCTCGAACATGCATTCTGCGGAGATCGATATGCCAAACGACCTCGGTCTCACCTGTTTGAACATCCCGTCCTGCATGACCTCCCGTGCGGTCTCTTGCAGGTACGAAGACCAACCTGGACGACACAAAAGACCTGGGCGATGGAGCAAATGATGGAAAACCTCTGGTGGATTGTTCAAGCTATTCACATCAGTGTTCCTATATATTGGGGGGTTTTGGATGGGTTTGGTATATCGTTTTTGACATGTGTTTAACCGAAGATTCGGTAGATGAGTTGATTTCAATCCTCAAACACTCACCTCACTATATCCTGGAAGGGACAAAAGCTTGGAAGGACTCTTCAACAGTTGTATCGGTCTCAACAGGTCCCCTCAGAGAGAGTGTATCGAACGCAGGTCTCAACATATATACTGCATGAACTGGGTGTGTATTCAAATCGGGGGCGGGCAACGACCCCAAAGGTTCGGACCAAAGACCAAGACCCGGCCGGGGCCAAGGGGTCTCCCTGTTATTAACATATGCTGGTCTCCATATGTTGCACATGACGATCTTGTGGAGCTGTTCCGCACCTCCTGACATTTCTGTTGGGCCGAATTGGGATGGTGTCTTGGAACGTCGAAGAACAGCAGGGAGACCCCGCAACTAATAGTTTTTGATGGTTTTTGCTCAGGATAATTGATTTTCAATGATCAGGTGAAGTCACATCTACCTCTTGAGAAGGTGGCTGGGGTGGGTTTGAGAGCCGAAGTACCCTCAAAGGATGTGGTTGGAGCCTGGGAAAAAATACCAGTGGTTTATGTTGAAGCCGAAACTGCTCAGGTTGGGTCGAATTAACCAGTTTTCAGAGGTGACAACTCCACACGGTACCTCTCTTGCATATGTCAGCTAAAGCATAATTCATGCTTTCGAGAGACCACCCTGCTTTCCTTCAAAGCCCCATGCGGCACGAGTTCTCATCCTCCGGATGTTTCTCATCCTTCGCTCTCAACCCGCTTCGAAGCCGCCCCGCCACAACGGTGCCAACGGTGCCAAAGCCACGTGCGGCAATGAGGACATAAAGCGCCAGAGAAGCCACCCGGAACCAAAACCAAAAAAGGGGATCTCCAGGGTGTTCAAAGACTTCCTGGAGAACGGGACGTTCCCAAAGAAAGGAACGCATCCAAGGAGGCGATCCCGGCTTCGATGGATCCATATGGATCCGGCGCCGGGCTCAAACATGTCGCACATGGTGTCCGCTTTATTCAACAAGTTCATCCAAAAGGAGGATCACTTTTCGAGTCAAAGAAACTCACTTTCCAACCCAATCTCCTGGCAAGGCGACGAAAAAAACAATGATACTGTGATGGTCTGCGACCCCACGTCATGAAGTTCTATGAAACCACCTCGCGGTGGTTTCATAGACACCTCAAATCACCTCTTCTCGCTCTGGTTCAGGTTTGGGAGATTGAGATTGAGTCGTTTGCTTGGTTGGAAACTCTTTCGTACCCTCCCTCAAACCATGGAAGCTGTGCAGCCAAAATGGGGGATGCTACAGGGGCCGTGTTTTTCTACAGGAGAGCCCTGTTGAGACCTACACAAAAAGTCCGGATGCCATCTACAAAGGTTCATGATTTGAATGGAGCAACACTTTCACCTTTTACCTCTTGTGTCCTAGCATGTTCAGGCACCAAGGTCTCTTGTGTCCTGGCGCCAAGTCTCATCCAGAGGATCCAATATGATCCAATTCCCCGACAGAAACAAACTCTTCATTCCTCACTGCTATTGCATTGCGATGACAGTTGAGGTCCCAGGTTGAACAGAACGTGTTGAAGCCACTGCTGTGAGAGGATGACTGCTTGGATGTGTCCAGTCAAATGCATGAGCGCCTTTGGGGCACCAGAAAGAAACGTGTCAATTGGAGGTTTCAGTGAAATCATATACAGTATCAATATCTTCAAATTCTGCATCACAATTTTCAATCAGTGTCAGTATGAAATCGAGATTCTCCTGGGGCTACAACTTGTTGTGTCCTTCGATGCTCTTCGATCCAAATCCACAGAAACCCTGGCTCCACCGTGACCGGTCGACGTCCCACCATCCACTCTGTTCCAAGGCTCCATTCTGGTCCACGTTTCGGTCCAGTTTCAAAGTTCACCGGTGATAGGTCGTGTTGAAAAAGCACAGACCCAGTCCTAAAAAGGTGCTAAGACTCAAATGGGACTTGCTATGCTTTTGCTATGCTTTCTCAGCCAATCCGCATCGATTGATGCACTCTTCGTATTGTTTTGGTGGCTGAAAAGTGGCTGTGACAGGCTGTGACTAAAAAGGTTGATTCCCAAGATGATGTCCAGCATCTCGCTTGGACTCAAATCTGAGAGCAAACCTATCTTTAACAAAATGAATTGAAATGAGTTGCCGTAGCATACAGCTTCATAAATGGTAGAAGGTATTCATGATGTCAGGTTTTGCCTTGTTCTTGGCAAGTGCTTCTTTTCACCCCTGCCGAGCTATGCTAAGCGCCCCCCAGGGCCGGATCTTGCCCGAGGGGGCCGACCTTGAGCCCCCAAAACGAGCTCGGTTGCAGCAAACAGATGCATGTTCATCTAGTTCCCTGTCTATAATTGTTGTATAGTCATATGTCTTGCAAGATCTATGTTGACACTATGATTCTCAAGTACAGTATGTAATTGAAATATTCTAACATCCTTTCCTCTTCAAAACATACCAGGTGCGTGCAACCACAACCATACATCTGCTCAATTAAAGTGTTATCATGGCACAATCCGTTCTGGTGACGCGCCCTCCGCAACCGCAATGGTATCGGAATTATGTTCACCCACCGGAGATCACCGGAGAGCTTAGTTTTCAAAGCGCTGCAAGTCACAAATCTGAATGGAATCTCTGATCTGTTCCTTTTTCGTCGCCCTTCAAAAGCCCAAATGGATCCACCAATGGCAAACGAGAAAGTGTTCCTCAATTTCGAAGGCTACTGTGGCCCGAAACCGTTTCAACCCCTTGGTCGCAATGAAAACAAGATGCCATTCCCAAGTGAGCGGTGGTCAAAACCCTCACCTGACAGGTGGGGAATTGGCAACGTAACTAGAAGACTCAGAATTGCTGACGCACCTTTTATGCATCGAGTGTCCTATCCTTGGCTTCCACCAAACCTTACGCAACCCTTACGCTGTGCAGACTTTAGCTTGCGCGACACTCTTGCAGTCTAATCGGATCATGTGGTTCTTTCACAGAGGTTTTGAACACTGCTTAAATGAAATTCACCAGCAACATTTGCCGATCCGTTTGTCGATCGCAGGTGTTCTGAACAGGCTTGCTGTGCTCCTTTCCCGACATTCACCAACTCCTGTGCATTATCCCCCTTCACCGTATCCCTCTTTTTGATTCTTTTTCCACTCAAAGCCCCATCGCCTAGGCACGAAGAGCTCTCAAACGAGCACGAGGATGTGAAAGAAGGACCGACAAAAGACACTCTCCAACATCTGAGATCAGGGGTCTCGGGGCCCTCATCCTAAACCCTGGGGAACCTGGGGAACCTGTCACGGTTCTCATCTGTCACACATCTGTCACACGGTTTATGGCAGAACCCACTGGCGCTTTGAGTGAACCACTGGTTACCAGCTATAGTGGTAACTGGATCCACGCTAGTCATCTGCCAAGTGGCTGCTCTCAAGGGCCTTTCTGCGCGTTGACTCGCGACCCGTGAAGTGGGCCGCGGTTCCTGCGCACTGAGAGGAGTGATGGGGCGGTGTTTGGGATGACAAGACAAGACCCACCAAACTCCATTCAGTGATGGGACGGACAATATACTCCAATGCAAATACATACAAATACCATGCCCAGCTGTGTTTGTTCTGCTTTTGTTGTTGAATGATTGCTTCATTAGGTTTTGTCATATTAGGTGGTCATCTAAAAAACATGTCCCAGCAAGTTTTTCTGGGCGGCAGTGCCAAAAGGGGAGATCGTTAATGATGATAACCTCCCTGGGCCCTGGAATCATGATGGAAGTGGAGTGAACAACTTACGTGGAGTGGAACTGTCCCACCCATGGCAGAGCCAAACCTGGGGCCCGTCATGCGAACCGCGCCCCGTCATGCGGCACGCGTCAAGGATTTCTCTATCCATCCGGTGGCCGTGGGGTACTGTGCCTGCGGACACGATCCAAACGTCGCCGCCCCGGTATACCCCACCGAAAACAGTCATGATCCAAACTTTTTGCGTCTTGCGACCTTGTGTTGCGGTAGCTTCTTGTTTCAGTAGCGATGGCCTGCAACCTACTTGCAATGGCCTCCAACCTACGTGCGATGGCCTTCACCTAATAGCGTCCTTGGGATTAAGGGCGGTTTTTGTACCACGGTTGTGTTGCGGGAGGTTTTGACCGTCACATTCAGCACGACCAGCACTGCGGTTTGGTGCTGAGACCAGGCGCCACGTACAGCACCACCGGGTCCTCAACGAAGGCGATGCCCTGAGCAGCACACCTTGACAGGTCGAGCCGTGGAGCTGGCGGTTGCTGAAGTTCCTGCTTGAAAGGTGCTACCGGATCTATCGGAAATGGATACCTTGCATCGGATCTATCGGAAGGTTTCCCAGCATGTCCTACCCAAATTAACTAATGCATGTCATCTTTCCGCAGCACAATGACCAACAAAACACAGATTATACATGTTTACAACTTTGGCCTTGCACGTGGTCCTTGTCGCCGTGCACCGGCATGTAGGTTTAGGTGTTTGGATATATACCATGCAGGGACACCTGTTTTTGACCAGGGTGAAGTACCGCTGCTTTGGGTCTAAGAGGACTCCAAAAAGACCCAAAACCACGATCGAGGTATGCAATGCCACCAAGGGCCAAAACATAACGTTCGACGAGGCGAAACACATCAACGTGTCACCGACTGAGGATGCTTTTTTTTGATCTCTGCGTTGGCATCCTCAAACCCCCAGCTTGCCCAGCAGCTCAACAAGCATGACCAAATAAATCAATACCAGTAAATCCAAACCACACCCTACAAAAAAGTACACTGAAAACCACCACAAGCAAATGGTATCTGAATCTCTCACAGCTCGCTTGCTAAGATCGCTAGGTCCCCATACTCCTTCTTGCGGCGCTGCTGCGTGGACAAGTATTCCACCGTCTGGCACGAGGCAAGCGGTGCAGGCGGTATAGCAACGCGCTTCTCCGTGCCGTCCAGTCACCGCCGGCAAGGTACAGAAGTAAGGTGAATGGAACCCGACGATTTGGGTGTCGGTGTAACACCCTAGGGTGGGAGGAGATGAGACTCGAAAAAGGGGTGTTGGAACCACCACCCTATAGGGTGTTGGACCACAACTTCTTCTATTTTGTCTAACAAGTTCGGGTGTATAGTTTAAGACCCCTTCTCTCTCAAACAAATCTGGTCGTTGGAAGATCCAGGTGCCACACCCGCTCGTGAAACTCTGGTCGTAGTGCACTGCTGCATGAACCATCATCAGCGGATGCACACTGTTGGGCCATGGACTTCACACGAAATGGAAGCGATGTTTGTGCCAAACATCAGCGGTACCGTCGATCGTGCGTGCTGAGGTACTACATACTGATCCTTGTCATTCTGATTAAAGCAACGGATGCCCTGTGTCCTAGTTCCCACCTGGGGACCACAAAAACAACACATTAAACAAAAAACATTTAAAAAAAACAGCACTTACTGTGAATCTATGCATCAAACTGGGAAGATCCTCCACCTGAGGTACCATCTGCTGAACATAGAGCTCAAACTACCACAAACAGTACGCAGTGGAAAGTGAGAAGAGAATCCAGGAGCATCCTGTCTGGTTGTCTTGGCTGGAATACCCTACCCTACTTGGAGATCTCCATTGGACACCCATTAGAATTGGATGGTCCAGGCATATAAATTGGGTCAGTGAATGATGGTTAGGTTGGAGGCCAACAGTTCCAACATCTCTAAAATAGTGATGAGCTTCTTGAAGGACTGTTACAGGTCATGGGACAAATCCGCAACACTCCATCAAACTGGCATACGCGCCCATACGGGGTGGGCCATCAAAGCTTCAACAGGATCGGATCAGGTAAATATTCCAGTCCCATGGAGTGTCTTTTTGTTCCCGATTTTGGGTGTCAATCTCAAGCGGTTGGTGATACGATTTCGCCTCGGCATCCACAGATTGAGCTGCTTAACATGTGGAAGTGAATCCTGAAGAGGCTTTAACAATTCACCACAACTCAACCTAATATATTGTTATTTCAGCGCTCTGCAACTTGCACTTTCAGGGACTACCAGGTCACCTCCGCCGATCCGCTGAGTTCCTGGGTCCACGAGGTCCTGGGTTTGCACAGATATGAAAGCCATCTACTGTAACCTGACAGAATGGCACGAACTATTGAATGGTCGTTGGGTTCAATAGATTCTTGGTTATTTTGAATGGTCGTTGTCTTCTTTTGATTCTATATATATATATATTGACGAATGGTCGTTTCAATAGATTCTTGAACTGCCGTAGTGCAACTGAAAGGCTGACTGAACCTCCAACGTGAGGGTCCAGGAGGCATTGAATGTGAATCCGTAGAATGCTCACATGGATGCATGTTTGGCCAATGTGAAGACGAGATCTAAACACATGCTTGGTTGTGGAACCTGACCCATCCAGTGGAGATTCTGGGTCGCCCAGCGCCACAACTGCTGAAACAAAACCTTTGGATTTCCAAACACTTTCTGGACACATCAAACACATCTCTGAAAATGTGTCAACTATTTTCAGACATGAGAGCATTCATGAATATTTGTAGAATAATCTTCTTCCGGATTCCTTCCTCTTTCACTTCAAGAACAGAACGAGGACGGAGCGCTCCCATCACCGCCTCGAGGAGCTCGCGAAGGCGCTGCGCTGCCTCATTGCCTCCGCTGCGGTGAAGCGCTAAGCGGCCCACAGGGAACACCGATGGACACTGACAAGACACCCACGAAGCAAACGGACACGCTGGACCCAGACGATATTATCTGAATGCGCTGTATAAGATCCGGGATCGCTGTGTCCAGATAGGATGGTCTTGGTGGATTTTTGTGGCGAAGACAAGGTCGCTTGTACCCAGACGTCGCCTCCCAAAGTGCTTGCACACAAAGGTGTCCAAGAATTCACAATTCCAATTCAATCCTTCATTGGGTCCAACCATGTGGATGCGAATCATTGTGCATG